AGCAGCGGAAAAAATTAAAAATATTTTGCATACTTACCAGGGCATATGCCGCAAAATGCTTGGACCGAAGAGCTATTAAAAAGTTTACAAAACATAATGAGAGGGGGGAAATAGAAGCGACCCTCCTGAGGGGTGTGTGTGTGTGTGCAGGGGAGTGTGTTTTCCTGTGTTTGTGTAAACAAAAGTTGGCCCAATCGGATGGTGGAAATTTACCTGTAATCGGCCAACGCATTAACCAAACAAATCAATCGAGCATAAAAGGTCAATCAAGGAGTTGGCCCTGTTATTCGCTTCGTAATTGGTAATTGAAAGTGGCCCTTAACCCGGTATGGAACTGGGAACTTGGTTGGATGCCTCCCCTCGAAGCTTCCTCCTGCTAATCAATCAATCGACAACGACGACGAGTGCGCGAACAGCAAAGGCAGGCAGGCGGATGGATCGATTAATCAATCAATCAATCAATCGAAAGGTCAAAGTGTGCTCTCTGCCGCTGCCAATTAGCGAAGCTAAACATCTGGATTAGGGCCAATACGGATTAATGGATACCAGGACTGACAACCAGAGGATTACTCTATGATAAAACCAAAATAAATATGCAAATAACATGCAAGACTTCGTAGCTTATCTGACAATTTAAATCAATTAAAATCAATGAATTTTAGATTTATTAAAATGGACAGTAAACAGGGTTTACTATTCAGGCATTCAGTCATCATAAAGAGGTCACTAGTTACCCAAAGAATACCCCCCTCATAACTGGACAACATTTACCTAACTGACACTCTTTTTAGAAAATCCTCAGCGAGGTCACCAGAAGAATATTGCAACCGATGAAAGAGCTAGCCCCACAACCACTCACCTGTCGGTGTCATTTTAATAAAAATCAAAGCCAGCATGTTATATAGAGAGATATATATAGAGAGACGGACAAGAGACTATGCCACGAGGATGCACAAAGATTTTTCTGTTTGTGGCATTGCAATCTCCGCCGCAATATGCCGGGCTAGAGTCGGAGCCAAGAGTGTCTGCTGGCCAGGCCATCATCATTTCCTGCCCGGCCAAAATGTGTCACACAAAAGGGCAGAGCCAGTGGGAGAGACAAGGGCAACATGTGGCAGGTTGCAGGATGCAGGACATTGCAAAAGCGGGCGCAGTGCCAAAGTGCCTGCGGTTATGCGCACTCGCAAAATATAAAGGCGACACCGACGCCACAAAAACCTTGGAGCAAAAGCTGGTTGCCGCTACACCTGCAAGACTCAACATTAATGCCGCCTTTAAAATTTATGATATTTACTCAACCAGACAGGGACACGGACCTGGAGACGGAGACGGCGACAGAGGCAATGAGGCGGTACACAGGACTTGGTTTTCATTTTGCATTCCGCAATTTGGCTCAAGAGAGCCGTGAGCCAAAGTGGCAATCACGACGATGGTCTGGCCAATGAGTCATCGGTTTGGTTGGGGGAATGGGTTTTGGCTTGGGTGTATTAGCATAGGGCTTGAGATGGTTGAGTATTGAGTGCCAGCAGCTGGTTATCCTCCACTCGACTTTCACTGGCTTTGGTTACTACTTAGTTGAGGCATTCGATACAATGGCCACATCTGTGGCAAATGCATGGCATTTCTTTCCAAATGGGATTATGTTTAAGGGTTGTCATAAACACAAACACAGTGTCTAAGAAGGTCTTTAACTAGGGGTCTTCAAATTACCAACCTAACCTGACTCAATGCCATTATTATTTTAGGGTTTAAAGTTCAGTGACAGTATTTACATATTACAACGAATTAAATTCCTGATTCAACAGTGTTGAGAAGAGATCTTTATCACATTATTTGCAGTACTTCTAGTGCTGTAAAAGCCTTTGCAAAGCGAGCTAAAATTCGTAAATTCTAGTTTTAAAGAGCGCTCATCTGGCCTCTTAAGGATTTCCGAGTGAGTTTAAAAATACAGAAAGCACCAAGCATATTCTCCACTTACTAAGCATTGCTTACGATTAACCCATGTCACCTGTGTGATGTTACCACACCTGGATATCTGACATCCTTCGCATCCACCTGTGTTGGCCTTTCAATTTGGCATCTTGGCCCCGGGACATGCGACAAACATCTGAGCACAAATATTGGCCATAGTTTTATCCTTTCATCCAGTTTAGTTTGCTGTCCATCCTTTAAGCTCATTCCTAGTTGGATTTCTAACCATTTTTTCAGTTCGGTTCTTGGCTCTCAGTTGTCAACACCTGAGACGCGCTCCATCTCCCTGACCAGACTTGGGTTATATCGGTTTTTTCCGTGTAATTTTCTTAAGTGTTGTCGTCTCCTGCAGAGGCTGGAGGAAGAGTGAAATTATTAGCAACATGTTCTGTCGTCGCTGTCGGATTGATTTCAACTTGGATGAGTCCATGGTGGCGTGCTGCTGTCGTTGCGACTGCCATCGCCATCGCCGCCATGTCGATGTCCCCTGGGAGTCCGTTCTGGAGTGGCGATGTCGCACTTGTCGTCAGCTTTATAGCCTGCAATTGAATTTCCAGGTAGCTAGCAAAAGAAAATGCAGGTGCTCCGGTTATTGGGAAACTTTCTACGATTTTACCTATTCGCGTGTGACCTTGAGTCAGAGCAATGCCATTAACTTAAGTTTGGCTTTAAGATTGTTTGAGGGAAGATTGTAGATCAAATCTTAAAGGTCATAAACTTAATTAGTTTTGTGGGCAAGGCAACTCAAGAAATGGGTGTAGAAAAAAAAAGAAAAATGAAGTGTTGATTAATGTACTTTTAAAGGTTAAGATTTGGCTAAGCTGATTAAAGCTTAATGAATTAATGTGAATATTAAACATGAAGGTCTCTCATGGATAATATTTAGTTCTAGTTAAACTAGTTGTCCTGGTAAATTTCCTTTAAGGAAACACAGTGTTGGTAAAGTCTAAATGAAACTTTCTTTTAGGTATAAAATGTGAGAACTGAAGTTATTTTTATTTATTTTGTTATTTTCCTACCACTTCAGTATTTGGACTTTATTTTTGTAATAGAAAACACAAAGGTGGGACACAGCTCTCTAGGACTCAGGACTAACCAAAGCCATGCCGATTAATTTTGTACTGTAATTAGTAAAGTAAATGTGGGGAATTTGTGGAAGTATATGTATATCCTTGTAAAATAACCGAAATAAGTTCAACTTAAGCCGGTAATTTGTTCTTTGCTTTAATCTCTCTCTATCTCTTTTCTCTAGCTTTCCCTATCTCTTTCCCTCTCGATGCTCGTTTCCATCAGCTGCTAAGCTGGCTGGCTCTCGTCCTTTTTTTTTGCCTTCTTCTCCACTTAACGTTAATTGCAATACTCAAGACTTTTCCTTTAGTATCAAAACAGCAGCAGGCAGCAACAATGCTTTGTGCATTTTTGCATCATCTGGACTCGCACCTGTGCTGGGAAAATGGGTCTGGGGAAAATATAGGCGAAGGGGAAAACAAAAGAACGAATTCTCTAGCAGCTGGTAACGGGCATCGTCGCCATTTTTAATTGTAACTGTAATTTAGCCATTGTTGTACACTTTTGATGACGCAGACAAGAGTCTGCTTTGGGCCCCCTCCATAAAAACGCAGTTGGGGGTTTTTTAGGTAGGTTTTCCAGAGGGGGTTTTTCAGGGGGACTTTCTCTAGTGGATGAGGAGGCGGCACGGCACACTTGAGATGCACGTGTCGTCGTCGTGGCATTCGTTATTGTTTTTCCTCTGCTGTTTTTTTTTCTTTTTTGCATACTCAGTTCAAGGGTATGCCAGCAGTGCATGTAAATTTATTTTAAGCTTCTAAAAAAGCCCAGCAATTGATCTATTTATAAACCTCAAGCCACAAATTGTGGAATCTTTGGTAGACTTCGAGAAATTTATAAAAAAAACAAGAAAGAAAGCTAACTTTGGCTATCTTTGCATTTTTTCTCTATTTTTAACGATCGTTTGTATGGCAGCTATATGATATAGTAGTCCGATTTTCATACAATTTTACACAAAATTCTAGATAAATTAAAAGTGCTATATATATATAATTTGAAAAAAATCTGTTAAAAACTGAAAAAGTAAAACTATTTTTTTCCTCTAAAAATGTTCCGATCGTTCCTATGGCAGCTATATATGTATATATATGGTCCACCGATTCGCCATGCTCCGATTTATATAATAGTAAAATTATATAGAAGAATAACTCCATAGTTTCATTCAAATAGCCTAAATTTGTTCGAAAGCAAATCTCGCACATCTGTGCATATGATTCCCAACTAGTTCTAACCTCCCCGGAACGAAGTGATTGCTGCCAGCCAAGTCTCAGATATATGTTGTGTTACAAAAGTTGCAAGTCATTGTTTATTAGTATTCAAAGTTAGTGACTGATCATACATACTTGCTGGCCATAGATACTTACTAGTCATAGATACTTACTGTTCAAAGTTAATTGCTGCTCATAGATACTTACTGATCATATATACTTACTGGTCATAGATTATTATTATTATTATTATTATTATTGATCATAGTTACTTACTGCTCATAATTAATTACTGATCATGGTTATTTAATGTTCATTGATACTTGCTGATCATAGTTACTTACTGGTCATGGATACTTACTGTTCAGAGTTACTTACCACAAGTGTATAAAAGTAATTGATTAGAGTCGACTTCTATAGGAATCTATAGTCTATTAGATTTAAGTCTGTGAAATGTGTTTATAATTTCGATCTAAGGCTACGAAATAGGTGTTATCTAAAGTGATCTTTGATATTTTGAAATATAAATTGCGCGTTTTGCATTATTACCACATAAAGAAATATTGTTCAAACTGTATAATAATATACAAATGTATGTGCGTTATGTATCTTTAACATTTTAAGTTTCTTGTGTAAATTGTATAAAGTTACTTGTTTATATAAAGCAAACTTTTTATGTGGTATTTACATTCTCAAATGAGTAAAATAAACTTAACTAATTTCTTTTTATATATATTATATTTAATATTTTAGATTGCCATCTGTGATGATTACAGCCTGCCCGTAGACTTTGTTAAAAAACGACCGTCCAGCTTTGATCCGTGCCTGGCGGAGGCGATACCAGCGAATCCCGAGCACTGGATAGCCCCCAGTCCGCAAGCCGAGTTTGTAAGTCCAAAAAAACGAACCTATTATCCTTAGAGAGAACATCCTGTCTCCCCCACCCAAATGTGGGGGGATTCAGGATAGGGATCGGGGGAAGTGGGAGTGACTTCCGAGGCAATTAACTTCTCCGGACAGCTAATTGATAAACTGCACGCTTCGGCGAATCGAGTGATTCGGGGGCGGGATGGGTCAAAGCTCAAGGACCAAAAGGACCCCAAGGACAGAGCCAAATAGAGATAGAGAGAGGGAGAGGAAGACTGATAGAGTGAGACAAGAAGTCACATCAACGTCAGCCGCATCAGCAGTGCGTTAATGAAAAGCCCGAATGGAGAGGCTCACGTTCCCCATCCTTTGAATCCTTGCGGCTTATCCTGCAGCGGCAGCCGGACAAACAAAGCGTTGCTCAAACAATGCACGGACTATTGGCTAAATATTGCAAAAAATATAAGCAAAAAAAAAAAAACAGAGAGGGAGATCAAAACAAGGGAGAAAACGTTGTGGAGAAAAGCGAAAAAATAAAGCGAAACAACGACAAACAAACAACAAACAAAAGCCCAAACTGCCCAGCGGGCGGTGGCTGACCATAAAAAATGGCCTCAAATCGAAAAAATAGAGTCAAAAACAGTTGTACAACTGACGGTTTTATAGCCAAAGTTGTTACGAGTTTACTATAAATATTAAGATTTTAAATTTTATGTTTTTAACATAGAAATAACGCACATTTCTGTGTTTTTATACCCTTACAGGGTATTTTACATTTAGTCTGAAGCTTGAAACTATGTGAAGGAGTCATATCCGACCCTATAAATCATATATATTCTTGATCAGCATCAAAAGCCGAATCGATCTAGCTATGTTCGACAAAAATTTAATTTTTTCAAAATTTCAAAAATTTTACAAGTGGTTAAAATTAAAAAAAAAAGATAAAAATCTTAATTTTTTTACCTTTTAAGCTGAGTATGTAGATTTTTTAACCTTTTAAAAACTAACACAGAACAGCTTTCCAATTGAAAATTAATGAATTTCTGACCGAGTTATGAGGGATTTTCATTGCAATGGTATAGGAATTTTGGTTGCTCGAAGTTAAGCTTCTTTCCTTGTTTAAATATTTATTTGATTAGGGTTTCTATATTAAATCTTTTCTTTTAAATTGTGTATTTTTGGTATTTATTAATACTTATAACAAGTTTTTAATGGCAGGATTGTAAGAACTTTCTTTTCTTTTCAACGTTTTTCATTTTGTATTCGTTTCTTTGAACAATTTAACAAATTTAAACAAAGTTATTGGCTTCGATTTCTAGCTACTTCTTTTAGCTATTTTTACCTATTTTTTTTATATTTATACTTTTCTGTCATCTCTGAGGTCAAAAGATATAGCCAAAGATAACCTCGGGCTGCAGCTGGAAATGCGCCCCGTGCCCCGAAACCAAATAATCTTTGAGCCACATTCCAGGACCCTCGACCTCGAGCCTCCTTCCGGAAAATGCCCTCGGGGTGTCCTCTCCCTCCCTCTTTTTCTCTGTGCTTTTTTTATGGCCCCCATACGGAAATATTTGGTGTTCGTTCCCCTTGCATATTGCCACTAAAAATGAAAACGAAAACACAGAGACATAAAACACACACACAGGGGGGCGGGGCAAGGAGCAAGGAGCATCCTGCCACTTGAAATTCATTTTATTGAGATTTGTTTAGCCTCGGAAAAGGAATGCGATTTGCTTTTGCCACTGCCAGGAGCAGATACTAAAATGCCAAAATAAAATACAATTTGTGGCAAGGACCTTTGGGAAGGATTGATAAAAACTTGAAATCAAAGCCAAGGATTCAAAGCCAAGGCAAAGTATCGAATGAATAACCCAATTTGGTCTCTCCATAAAGCAATTTATAGTAAATATTAAATCAAAATAATAATAATAATTAATCCTTTGACTGTCTCAATAATTTCAGTTAATAATTAACTGAATTTAATTTTAAAAGGACATTCTCTGTGGATCTGGTGTCCAGTGTAGCCAAGATAATGGGGATGGAAATGAATGAAAATTCATGCCGCAAATGGCCAAAAGCGATAACGTTTAGCGCCTTTTCCTGTTTGGCTTTTCACTGCCGCTTTTCCTCCCATGTGTAAGCGTGTGTGTGCGAGTGCGTGTGCGTGTGCTTCCCCTCACAGTTATTAATGTAATTTTATCTTATGACTTTTGTTTGGCATCACAGAGGCGTACGGCAGGGGTCCAAAGGGGGGTTTTGGGGATGGCAATAGACGCGTGTCCATGTGATGATGCCATAACAGTCTTTTGCCTATGTGTGTGTGTTGGCCATTGTTGTTTTTTGCCCGGCTTTTCTTCTGCTTTATTTTTTATACTTTTTATTTTGGTGGCAACTCACGTTTTTAATGGAAACGAGGAAAAGGCGAAATATTTTTTAAAAACAGTGATGTCAATACATTTCTTTTTTATATACTTTTGCAGGGTATTATGGTGTCAGTCAAAAGTGTAAAACGCAGTAAACGATTAAATAAAGTATATATATTCTTGATCAGCATCGATCTAGCCATATCCGTCTGTTTCAACGTCAACTAGTCTCTCTATTTTGGAAGCTATCTAAATTAAAATTTGCAGTTGGTATTCTATATGTTCGCACTAGTCCGTATCGAATGACTATATCATATAGTTAACATAGGAACGATCGTGAAATGTAGAGGGAAATGCAAAACTCTCGCTCCCTCTCTGTCTTTCTCCCTCTCTCTCTCTCTCTCTCGCTCTCTCTCTCTCGGTATGTCTTATTATGTCTTTCTCTAGAGATATCATACCTCTTACTCTCTCGCTCTCGCTCTCTCGTTCTCTTGACTCGGAGCCTATAAATACCGGGCTCTGCCGCCTTGCGCACCTCAGTCTGTGCGTGGCCTCCTTCGTGATTACATCTATGGTGATAAATTAATAGTGATAGTGATAGTGCCCTTCGACTCCAAAAGTATGACGTGGCCTATGCAATAGATATGGCTCACTTGGATGAAAAGCCTAATTGAGTTCACCTAGAATATTACTCCTACACTGCACATTCATTTTCCAATTAATTCCCTTATAGCCATGGACCCCATTACTTAATTTTATTTGTATGTTATGTAGTAAAATGTATACTTTTTGTTTAATATTTTATTGAAAAAGAAACTTGTCAATATATATATTACACCACTATCAGCACTGATCCTATATATATAGAATATGTAATATATATATACATGTGATATATACAATATGTAGAACGTCTGGCCTGAAGTGGGCTGGTGGCTCTGTAAAATATAAAATAATACAAAAAAACAGGAGCAAGACGTCGCGGAGTTGGGGTTGAAAAATTTCGTTTGGCTTTTACAGTTGTTGCTATTACTCTCCACGGAGTAATATTCAACGATAACTCAGCGAAGGAACAACAAAGGACACGTTTATGGTCCATGTGCGAGTCCTGTGTGCGTGTGCTTTTTGTTTATTTCAATAACTTCTCTACACAACTCAAAATAAAACAAGAAAAACAGAAAATAAACCAGAGGAGCAGGGTAGCAGAGCGACAGCATCAGCTTAGATATCACTCATACGTCGCGTAGTCAGTGCCTCAGGCATTGCCACACCGATTAAATTCTTTTCTCTTTATTAAAATCAGAAAATTTATACTCTTAAAGCCTGTTTTAAACTCTAAAAAAAACCATAATGGTTTTTCTGTGCAGAATCCTTTACGATTAGGAGACTGTAGTTAGTCAGCCACAATGGGATGTGCCAGGGATGTGAGTTAGACAGACAGACCGACAAGGGTTTCTCTCCCCAATGAAACTTCACTCTGGCGATTACGATGATTTCTTTTTTCATTAAAGTTGGCATAAAAATCACGTTGCTGCGGCAACAAGCAGACAAGCGGAGTTGGAAGTTGGGGAGTTGTGTAGGAATCCTAACAGTTTTCATTATCCTTGAAACACTGCAGAGCAGCACCAACCCCATCATGGCATCATGATTTGTGAAGGCAATCGTGCATGAGAAGGACATACTATATACTCGTCGTCTGCTTATATCGTTTGTTGATAATCAAAGGCAAATATTTAAACAGCAAAATGTGAAGCCCTCTCCTCCCCCATTATTAATGCCTATCCTGGTTACGTCCTGGATACAACATCCTGGGGAGTGGGACTTCCCTTCGAAAAGCAGTGAATGAGCTGGGAACTTCACTTAGAGATGTTTTTTTTTAGTCAAACAGAAAACTTCGATATATATCGATTTTGTAATATATAAATTGGTGATAATTATTTTTTAAGGTATATCGATTTATTACAACATTCAAGATAACATTTAGATACCTTTGTTACAAATTGCGAATCACAATCATTACAAGGTGCTGAATGCTAAATTTTAGTTAATATTTTCTTTCTACAAATTGTTGCACCTCAAATCAAATATTTCACATTATTTTAAAGCTAGAAGCAAAAATTTAATTTTTCACTAAAATCGCCATCGTTTTCTTTATCGATTTATATTTTCAATTGTTTTTGTAAATATATCTGTAAGAAATTAAAGGGTTTATTAGCTAGTGAAAAAAAATTCTAACCAAAATTCGTCACATAATAATCCGATATAGTTCTTTAATCCTATTATACATATATACGTATAGATATATATGTATCGATATACATGCATCGATAAGTGCCATCTTCTCTACATTCAAATTAAAAACACTTTTGCATAGGACCCTGGGGTTACCCTTACCCTCTTCCCAGCACTCACTTCACTCTTAATTTATGAGTTTCAATTAAAAATGTTTTGCTGCAAAACCCTGCGGCCGTGTTGTCTCCGTGGCCAAACATCAATTTCCGTTAGCACAGATATAGCCTCATTCCCATTCCCATTTTCATTTCCATTTCCATCTCCTCGATGCCAGCATATCCCTCTCAGATATCCAAGTTCGAAGTGGACATGGGCCGTGTAAACGGAAATTTATGTTTAACATAATGGCCGGGAGCGGAATCCCGCCAGCCGGATGACAGTATGGATGGGGCAATACAACGGGGGATACATATATAGACATACATAGATGTATGTATATGGAGGCAGGACCTCATAATTTGCACACATTAGGATCCTGTTAGTGCCACCGATGTTGCAGTTCCGTAATGTCTAGCTATTTGTCAAGTCCGACATGGGATGGCAATGGAATGGAGGTCGGTCATCGGATATTGTGATTGACATGGGGTTATGGTGTGTGTTTGGGGAAGAAGGAGAGGTTTCCATGAAGACCATCCATCAGGCGGAACAGTATCTCCATCTGTGTAGTCGAGGGTAAAACAATTTCCCGGCCACAACTGCGTTTCCTTTGTTTTCACAGTAGAGTAAGTTGCTTTTCCAGAAGGAAACTATAGGGATTTGTGCATCAAGTGATGTATATCAATAATTAAATTTCATAGATTGCGTATACGCAACTGAAACCCTTTGTGCAAAAAGCATTGCCTACTTTTTTGGGCAGCCAGCTTAGTAAAGGGGAAACCCCACAAACGAGTGCTTTTTTCAATTCAATTCCAAATGAATTGCAAATTGCAAAGCAAATCAAATTAGACGCCAACAAATGCTAATGCTAATGCTATACATTCTTCTATTTTTTGTTGTTGTTTTTTATTGTAGCTACCATTTGGCGAAGCCCAACAAGCGGGGCAACAACCAACTGCAACAGCAGCAGTTGCAGCGGTAGCATCAGCAGCAACATCAACAACCACAGCAGCTGGGGCAGCAGCAGCACCACCACCGCCCCCCGTAGCAGCTGCAACTGCAACAGCGACTGCAACATTGAACAACAACAACAACAGCTGTGGCAACACACATACACAGCCCAACGCACACAATCATCATCAGCAGAACAACAACAATACCTTGCCAGTGGGTGGCGCACAACACCAGCTGTTACAGCAACAGCAACAGCAGCAGCAACAGCAGCAGCAGCAGCAACACCTGCAGCAACGTGCAACTCTGCAACATCCGCCGCTGCCCAATAGCAACATCAAGCAGGCATCGGTGAAGCTAATCGAAGGATATTCAGATCCCAAGGACACGCGCAGCCACAAGAAGGTCTACCACAAGAAGGCCAAGAGACGCAGCCAGCCGGGTCATAAGCGACATCATCAGCAACAGCAGCAGCAGCAGTTGCAACACTTGCAGCAACAATCGCTGCCGCAGCCACAGACATTGCCCACGCCCAGGAGTGCGGGGCAGCAGCAGCAGCAGCAACTGCAACAGCAGCAGAGGCACTCCACCTACAACAACAACAACGGCAACTTGCGAAGAGATAAACGCAACAGTCAATATAATTCAGGTAAGATTTGACTTCATTATAAGACTATTTTTGATTCAAATAATTAAAGTAATAGGGGAACTCTTCTCAATTAAATTAAGCCAAGATTTAAGTGACCTAGACCCAGGTATGTCCTGGCAGTAGATGGAGAGGAGAGGAGGTTAGCAATTAGGCTTGGCTACAGGCTCTTCCCAAACGATGGCACAACTTTTCTTTCCTAACCAACCGTGAAATGGAAAATGGCAGACACTCTGATTAGGGCTGCCAAAGGAATGCAATGCAGTGGTCATGGGAGGAGCAGGAGCAGGAGGAGGAGCATCAGCAGCAGCAGGCCAGAGTCTTGGAGATGCCTGTGGCTCCTGCACGAGCAGGAGGAGGTGCATCAGGGGCTGGAGAGGCGGCGGCCAGCCAAGCGCCAAATAGACTGCGTCAACTCCATTTGCGTTTCAATTGCGGAGCCCCGAGGCGCCGCAGTGTCGTCGCTGCGACTTAATTAGAAACTGTCAGCGCCATCTCAGCGTTTCAGTGGTTGAGCCAATGGAAGGAGTTGGAGGACTCTGCCTTCCAGAAGGAGGAAAAGGATGAGGAATAGTAGGAAGAAAAGAAGGAGGAATCGTAGGAGGAAAAGGAGGAGGGATCGTAGGAGGAAAATGATGAGAGAAAAGGAAGGAATAGTAACAAGAGAAGCAGGAGGAATGAACATAGGAAAAAGAGAAATAGTAGAAGGAGAGATAGAAAAGAAAAGAGAAGAATGATAAAAATTACGAGAAATAGTAAGAAGAAATGCAAGAGGACTTAGAAAAATATGAAATAGTAGGAAAAATAGTAGGGGGAAAAGGAGGAATAATAGGAGAAAAATGATGAGGAATAGTAAAAGGAAAAGAAGGAGGAATTGTAGGCAGAGAATTAGGAATAGAACTAGAAATATAGAGAGGAATAAAAGGAGCAAAAAGGATGAGGAATAGTAGGACAATAAGTACCAAAAAATAGAAGTAGAAAAAGGAGGAATAGTAAGAGATATAGTAGGGGCAAAAGTAGGAGCAATGGTAGGAGCAATAGTAGTAGGAGGAGTAAGAGGAGTAGTAGGAAAATAAATAGGAACAAAAATAGGATGAGGATTTAAGTCAATATTTATCAATATTTTAATGGGACAATTTTTTTGACAAAATCAATTTTAAAAAACTCATAACTAAACTAAAAAGGCATTAATTTTAATTTGGAGAGCTGTCCTACGTTAGTTTTTGTTATGGTAATAAATCTGCATACTCTGTTTGAAATGTAAAAAATTAAAAATTTTTTTTTTATTTTTGACAATTTTAACGATGTAACCCCTTAAAAAATGTTGAAATAATTTGAATTTTTTTTTGTTCTCTGCTATATAGCTAGATCGATTCGGCTTTTGATGCTGATCAAGAATACATATGATTTATAGGGTCGGAAATGAGTCCTTCACTTAGTTTTAAGCTTCTGACTGAAATTAGAATACACTAAAAGGTTTTAGAAAAAGGAGAAAACTAAGATCTTCACCACAAAAAGCTGCCCCTAAAATCTATGTTAATCCTCGCAAACCACATACCACAAAGTATTTATAAGCTCTGGATCAGGATCTTCCCTTTAGTTATAAGAAACCCCTTCCCTAAGTAATCAATTATTAAATTCTTTATACTCAATTCCACTCTTTCTTTTCCCCTACAGATTCTTCGGCACCCAAGTCTTCCGACGACGAGGCGGACATAGACGAGGAGGTCGAGCAGCAGCCACCTTTACCAGTGCCGCCAAGCGCCGTCACCTCCACCGCCGCTGCACAGGCTCCGCAGACGGGACACGGTCTCAACTCACCAGATTCCATATCCGATGACCTGGTGCGTCCCCTGCCGCCACAACTCCAGCGAAGTCCACGCAAACTGACCGTTGCCCCCGCCGAGCACAGCAAGCGCCAGCCGTCGCCCTACTACTACTCCGATCTTCTGAAGAGTCGCGACAAGGACAAGGAGCGGGACAAGGACAAGGAGGAGATCAAGCTCAAGTGCCGCCAGTCGACGGCCAGTGAGCCGCCGCTACAGCAGCCGCACCAGCAGCCGACGGTTGGCTATCGCAAGAGCTCCAGCTTGGATGTGCCCCAGGCCGAGGAGCAGCAACAGCAGCAGCCAGTACAGGATAGCCAAGGAGAGGAGGAACAGCTGCAGCAACATCCCGATCTTGAGCTTGCCGAGCAGCCAGAAGATCAGGACACCGAACCCCGTCCCGACTCACAGTCAACGCCCAAGCGTTACAGCTTCACCGAGGAGGGAGTGCACATCATTCGCTGCGAGACTCCGAGCACCAGCACCTCCGAGGAATCGGACTGCAGTGAGTGCCTCAAGCGACGCGAGTGGCACGCTCGGGCCTTGGCCCTCGTCCGCAAGACCTGCAACGTTCAGCCGCGGAATCTACAGAATCCCACCACTGGCAGTGAGCTTCAGCTCCAGCTGCAGCACTGCGACGCCGGCGAGGGTGAGCTGCTCAAGTGCTGCCCCCCACCAGCACAGTCATTAGCTTCGCTACCACAACCATTACCACTACCACTGCCACTACCGCTGGGAGCTGAGGCCAGTGTCCAGCCGATGCCACCGCACCGCCTGCTGGGACTGGGACCAGCAGCCGTGTGCGGAGCTTGCATAACATCCGCCTCTGCTTTATCCAAGGCAAACGCCTCCGCCTCCGGCGGCCGGGGGCCCGAGCCCGGCGATGAGCTGGAGGAGGAGTACTTCCGGCCGCGCAGCATCTTCTATGTGCATCCGCATGGCGTCCATGAGTGTGCCGAGTGCGCCCAGCCTCCAGCGCCACCAGCAACTAACGCTACCGTTACCGCTTCCGCTCCAGCCACGGCTTCGGCTCCATCGTTGAGCATACCGTCGCAGTCGGTGAATACGCTCGATCTTTACGGCGACGACGAGCGTGAAGAGGACGACGACGAGGAGGAGGAGGACGAAGACGACTCCGAGGAGGACGACGACGACTCCGAGGACATCATGGGCAGCCGGCGGCGTCAGATATACGAGACCGCCTTCGACTGCAAGATAGCCAAGTCGGATGACGATCTGGATGAGGTGGATCGCATCACCAATCACTCGGTGCTGCTGCAGCTGAGCAATGGCAATGGCGATGCCATGGCTATACCCACCACAAGCAACACCACCACCACCACCATCACCACCACCAGCAAGGCGGCCAAGTCGGCCCGCAATGAGTGCAAGCGGGCCAAGAACAGCAAGAACCAGGCGCTCCAAGAGCAGACGGGCGAGGCCCATGTCCAGGTGCATCAGGTCCAGGTGGAGCTGGGCAAGCTGCAGCTCAGCCAGGTGGATCAGCAGAATCAGAACCAAAATCGAAGCACCGGCAGTGGATCAACGGAGCCAGCTGGAACCACTGGCAGTGGAGGAGGAGTTGGAGTAAGTGCCACAAGCACTCAGCAGCTGCCGGTGCGCGGCTATACACCATCTCCACCATCGACGGCACCGCTCCCGATGAAGTTTCCCGGCAAACACGAACGCTACCTGAACATGAATAGCATTCGGAGTGCTCCCAATTTGCCGGCTGCAAATCCGGCGCATCCACGTCTTCGGGATCTTCGCCTGCCCATCCAATCCATGCGGCAACAGCAGCAACTCTGCACGGGCAGCAGCAATGACAACAGCCTCACCGACAGCGCCTACGTGAATCCGCCCTCGACCAATTCCAATTCGAATGCGGCCTCCGTTTCCGCCTCTGCCTCCGTTTCCGTTTCCGCCTCCGCTTCGGCATCCGCTGCGGGAGCAGGAGGAGGCGGAGGAGTGACGGGAGCTGCCCGCCGGCCGCGCTCTTTTGTGCTGGAATCTGGACGAGTACTTGAACTGCGACGCAGTGGCGGTGGTGGAGGTGGAGGCCATCATCAGTCGGGTGGCCAGACATCCGGCCAGCGGCAGCATCATCATCACCATCACCATCATCATGCCGGAGGAGCTGGAGCCGGAGCAGCAGGAGCTGGAGCTGCCAGTAGAAGGAGTCGTCATGGTCATGGCCATGGACAGGGTCAGGCGACGGGACAGCAGCAGCAGCAGCACAACTACAGCAGCACGGAGAGCATAGCCACATCGAGCAGTGGCGGCAGCATGGAATCTTTGCGCTCGAGCACCAGCGAGGGAAACCGCAGCACCTCCAGCTCAGAGTCACGACACTCCAGCTCTCTTAGTTCGCACAGCTCGGAAAGCGGCAGCGGTGGCAGCGCTGGCTCCAGCGTGGCTTATCCTTTGAGGCCGGCACCCCTGCTGCTGCACTCCAAGCTGCACATCCTCAGCCCCATCTCTGACAAGTCATCGCAGGAGCCGGCCTCGGCCAGTGCCTCCGAGCAGTCACAGCAGCCGTCCCAGCTACAGCAACAGCAGGCGCCAGTGGCGGCGCCGGAGGAGGACTTAATTGGTGTCTCGCAAACGGGTAGCCAGCAAGTAACCACCTCCATGAAGCAGCAGCGTAACCGTGGAGCACCGAACAAGGCACTGCTTCAGCTGGCCGATGAACTGCTTGGCTCCGACAGTGGCATCTCGTTGCATTCCCGGGAGGAGGGCAAACCACAGGCCTTGGCCCTGCAGCGGCTGACGTTGCCCAAGCTGCAGCTGATTGGAGCAGAGGGTACTGTCTCTGGAGCCAGTGGAACTGGAGCTGTAGGATCGACGGCAGCAGGTGGTGCAGCTATTGGTAGTGGGACGGGAACCGGAGCTGCTGCCGGCGGCGGCGGTGTAACTGGTCTTCCCCAGGATCTGCGCGACCTGCCCTTCGATATGCCCAAACTGAGGCGTCGCAAGACGTTGCAACAGGAGGCAGCCTGCACCTCGGGCAGTGCCACCTCTGTGGATCTGGGCGAGCTACCCTTCGACATGCCGAAGCTAAGGCGTCGTCTCAGGGCAAACCAGGCGGAGATTAATAACCTGCTGATGCACAGCACCGAGTCCAGTGGCATCTCGCAGGCCTCCTCCAGTCATTCGATGCGCGACGACCAGAAGCTGGCCAGCAAATTGGGTGCGTACCCATTGGGAATATCTTCTGAACTTGACTAATGATCTCTCTCTTTCTCCAGCAGACACGGCTCTATTCCGGCAGAACCTCACCCTCAACCTGAACGAGTCACGGCAGGCCACCAAGCAGTTTGGCAGCCTGGATCTGCGGGGTCTCAGCAGCACCAAGGAGCTGAACATGAATCTCAGTCAGGGCTATGTAACAGCCGTGGATCTAATCGATGTAACCATTCCTCTAGAACGGCAGGGGTAAGTTGTTGTGGGTTTAAAGATGATATGTTTAAATTAAGATACATCTTTAATAATTCCTCCTCTTTCCATTTATTAGCTGGTATCACGGCGCCATAACTAGGATTGAGGCGGAGACCACACTGCGTCCCCTGGCCGAGGGCTCGTTTCTCGTACGCAACTGCGAGTCCACCAAGCAGGACTACTCCCTGTCCCTCAAGTAAGTTCATCAGTTAAATATCTAGAATGATTCGCTGCTAATCTTTTAATATAAATTCTTAACCTACAGGGGCGCCAAGGGATTCATGCATATGCGGATCCAACGCAACGAGACCGGACAGTACATCCTGGGCCAGTTCAGTCGACCCTTCGAGACGGTGCCGGAGATGATCCGGCACTTTTGCCTGAACCGGCTGCCAGTCCGCGGTGCCGAGCACATGTGTCTGATCGAGCCGGTCATTGTCCAGCTGCTCTAGGCGGGATGATCTGCCCCGGATGGGGATGGGTATGGTTAGTGGGTATTGGGGATGATGGAACCAAACAGAATAACATATTAATAGCGTGTAGAGGAACCTAGGAACCTATGTGAACAGTGTATGCACTAGTTATTATATGCGAGAGAGATACATACATTCATACATAGGTTTGTAAAAGCGAAAAATTGCAATTTTTCATATGTATGTGTATGTTTTTTTTTTTTATTAATAACATTAATATTTTTTTTATCATTGGATCAATGTTTTTTGTAAGCAAAAACAAATAGGAAGTACACACACCCAAACAGGACACACGAACTAGTTTAGCGTTTAAAGTACGTAGCACATTCAGACAATACCAAGCAAATTACAAGAGTAAAAAACCAAAGCGATATTTATATAGAAGGCATACATATATATACAAGCAAGCTAGCAGACAAGGAAGCAAGCATGATGATATATACAAGATCAATCTATATATATATACATTTATATATAGAGACAAAGCCGGAGTCGCTACAGAAACGGGGAGACGAACATGGCTGAGAGGGATTTTTTTAGATGTGTTTTACACCGAACTTGGAACAGTAGTAGATGCAATCACACACACAAACACACACCCGACTCTCACTTGACGATTTCTGCAACTTTTCCGTAGTAAACACACAACACACACACTACCGCCAGGATGTAGGAGGCAGGCGGCGTAGCAGTCATCGTCATCGCTTGGGGCACGACCTTTACACACTAAGAAGAAAAGTTTTAGCAAGCAACTCTAAAAATTTGTTGATTAATTTTATGTTAAACAAAAGAAAAATACAAAAACAAAAAGGAAAAATCCAAAATATGTATATCAATATATATATATATATATATATATAACGAAAACTAACTTTAGCAAGTGCAGGAGAGCGATGCCATTTTTTTGTCTTAGCTGTTAGGTCACGAAGGAGAGAAGGAGGTACGCGATGTGTAGGACGCTCAAAGCGCTTTTGGTTAAAGGATCGCATAGGATCTAGAATGCTAGATGGAGTTTGGAGGTAGGTGGGGAAGAAAGATATAGCAACGCATATGAACAGTCGGTTTAAGTGTTAGTTTCTAATTGAGTAATTGAGGTAGGATGAGCAGGCAAAACTAAATATATATATATATATGTATTATGGATGCTAAACTTACTATTTATATTTCTATATATACATTTATATATATATATATATATATATATATACACGATATTACAAGAAAAGAGCAGTCAATGGTTTTTTGGTTCCAGTTCCGACATGAGCAGCAAAGTGCAGGATGCTAATTAACTATTAATTATTATTGTTTACGGAAGAGTCGTCCTTGTGTTCCACCTTCGTACCGCCGAGCAATACATCCAGAAACTTTTCTTTCCTTCCTTCCGCATATATATATATATATATATTTGTATGTATATGTATATCTGTGCGTGTGCCAAAGTATTATCCTAGTCATTAATATATATTTATATTATGTATGTGAATATCATCAAAATATCTTCTCATTTTTGTTAATTGTTGCCTAATTTCTAATTCCACGCAATCGCAGTGCAATATATATGTATTATTATTATATTATAAGTTTATCCTTAATTTAAATCTAAGTTTCATGTCCTGATTTCTTCGTATATATAGCAGCAAAGCGAGTGCAGACTTTTTGTAAATATAAACACAAGATATATATTATATATAGAGTACAGCAAGGCCGATATAAAGATATATGATTGATTTCCTTTGCAAACAGGACACACACACAACTTTCTAAGCTAAGATTTCAACTTTATATAGAGACAGCAACCCCACATACGACCTACACATACATAAATAGCAATATATGTATTTCGAGGCTTCCGTAGCAGTAAAGAACCAACAAACAAACAAACAGAAAACTCAGCAATAATACCAGCACTCGATCGATCTGAGTACTGGCGTTCGTTTTTAGTTATTCCCCTTATTTTCTCATTTTTATTCTCATTTTGTGTGTATAAAATGTACTTAGGTCTGTGGGCTTACTCTAACCAAAAACCTTGTATTCCAAACTAGAGGCGCTCGCTCTCTCTCTACGGCACCCTAATATCTGATTAATTCAATTAGTACAGAACGAATACGTAATTTAACACGAGCAGCAAGCAGAGCAACAAAAAAAATTAACAAAACAGAAACCGTAAGAAAAACAACAACAAACGAAACAAACGAAATGTATTTAATAAAATAAATATAAAAAATTAAAAAAAACACTCGAATATTTTTTTTCAATGATTTTAACAAATAATTGCAACCATACATTCAGTCTGGGATTGCCAGCGGGCTTGTGTACGATCTCCGGTTCGTTGCTGTTAATATAAGAATGAAAATTCATTGAGAATCAAACTTCTTTAAGTAGTTTATCTAACACTTGCCCATTTCTATTCAACTCCTGGGTGGACTGGACATTGCGCAGTTTTCCGGGCCCATAGCAGTGCTCTACCTCAGAGTCCTCATCGTCATCGTCGTCTGTGCTGAGTTTGCTGGAGAGGAAAAACGTAAGATGATAAGATGACTATTCTTGAAAGCCTTGACGTGCACTCACAGCTTGTCCAGCGAAGCCTTCAGTGTGTTCTGCCTGTTAATCTTGCGCAGGCGCTTCAGCTCCGACTTGCGCGGAAGTGGAAATGGTCCCGGTAATCAGCTTCTGCTGCGGCGGCTCTGGTGTCATGTTTTAGCAGTTGGGTCCAATGTAAGGCTTCTCCTGACGGGTGACCACAGTCAGCTTGAGCGGTTGCAGCTGCTGCTTGTGCTGGAGGTTGTTGTTGCTTTGCGAGAAGGCCGAGATGCCGGAGTCATTCGAATACTGGCCATCGAGGCTCTCCTCCTGGTGTTGGATAGCTCATCAATGGACATAGGATGAAAAAGCTGCAGAAAGTCAAAGCGGTCACATTTCATTATTAAAGTAGTAATGAGTTGGTTACACTGCAAAAAGCTCGATATATTGGCTATGGTCACACCTGTTTGAAAATCGATTTATTTCGATGACGATATTTAGATCGACTCGCATGGCTGCATGCCATAAGCTGATCGTCACAGCGGTTTTGGGTTATGGTGAATGCACTCAGGAGTAGCCACAGGATCAGGATGAGCTTGATCAAGACCGGGGCGTGCTGATCACAGCCCAGCCGGCGGCAGTGCAGACCACTACTCTCCTGCTGCCCATTGATGAGCTATCCAACACACCCTCGCTGGCCACTAGCGTAAACAGCGCCAAGGAGAAGATCCTCGATGACCCACATTCTGGTGACTCTGGCATCTCGTCTCCTCGTAGAGATACAACAACCTTCAGGACAAGCAGCAGCAGCCGCTTAAGCTGACCGTAGTCACCCCCCAGGAGCAGCGTTACATTGGACCCAACTGCTCCAACATGACACCGGAGCCGCCGCTGCAGACCAGAACCATTTCCATGCCGCAGCTGAGTGGCCTGCCCTACCAAGGCCGTGATTCAGCGGCTTATAGCCTCCCATGGCAAGCTGGTGACACCCAATATTCCCCTGCGGGACTCGGAGGGCACGCCTTTGCGTCGAGGCTATGTGCCCGTCTAGCAGAATCTGCAGCGGGAGCTTCAGGACCTCAAGTCGCGCGAGACGAGCAGGCAGAACACACTGAAGGCTTCGCTGGACAAGCTGTGAGTACAAGACAAGGCTTTCAAGAATCGTCCTCTTATCATCTTACGTTTTTTACGTTTCCAGCCAGCTCAGCACAGACGAGACCGATGCGGACGATGAGGACTCTGAGGTGGAGCACTGCTTTGTTTTCGGCTATGGTGAATGCACTCAAAAGCAGCTACAGGATCGGGATAAGCTGGATTATGTCCAGGGCGTGCTAGTCACGGCCCGGCCGGCGGCAGTGCAGACCACTACTCTCCTGCTGCCCATTGATGAGCTATCCAACACACCCTCGCTGGCCTCTAGCGTGAACAGCGCTAAGGTGAAGTTCCTCGATGATTCGCATTCGGATGACTCTGGCAACTCGGCCTCCTCCCAGAGCAACAACAACGTCCAAGCCAAGCAGCAGCAGCCGCTCAAGCTGACCGTGGTCACCCGCAAGGAACAGCGTTACATTGGACCCAACTGCTCCAACATGACACCGGAGCCGCCGCTGCAGACCAGAACCATTTCCATGCCGCAGCTGAGCGGCCTGCCCTACCAAGGGCGTAATTCAGCGGCTTATAGCCTCCCATGGCAAGCTGGTGACACCCAATATTCCCCTGCGGGACTCGGAGGGCACGCCTTTGCGTCGAGGCTATGTGCCCGTCTAGCAGAATCTGCAGCGGGAGCTTCAGGACCTCAAGTCGCGCGAGACGGGCAGGCAGAACACACTGAAGGCTTCGCTGGACAAGCTGTGAGTACAAGACAAGGCTTTCAAGAATCGTCCTCTTATCATCTTACGTTTTTTACGTTTCCAGCCAACTCAGCACAGACGAGGCCGATGCGGACGACGATGACGATGAGGACTCTGAGGTGGAGCACTGCTTTGTTTTCGGCTATGGTGAATGCACTCAAAAGCAGCTACAGGATCGGGATAAGCTGGATCATGTCCAGGGCGTGCTAGTCACAGCCCGGCCGGCGGCAGTGCAGACCACTACTCTCCTGCTGCCCATTGATGAGCTATCCAACACACCCTCGCTGGCCTCTAGCGTCAAGCGCCAAGCAGGAGAGCCAAGCAGGAGAGCCTCGATGACCAGCATTCGGATGACTGCCATCTCGGCCTCCTCGCAGAGCAACACAACTGCTACAACATGACACCGGAGCCACCGCAGCAGAAGCTTAGTTACCAGGACCATTTCGGTGGCCTGCCCCAGAAGCGTTAGTTTGCCTTAGGTGGTGCTTCTAGCAAGGGCATGATGCATCGGGTTATTGCCTTCCATGGCAAGCTTGTGACACCCAATATTCTCCTGCCGCCGCCTCGCCATTGGGCAACATCACCAGCTCCGGGACCAATCAGAATGGAAGTCAGAACAGCAACAGCATCAGGCAGACAACACTAAAGGCATCTCTGGACAAGCTGCGAGTACAGGACAAGGCTTTTAAGAATCGTACTCTTATCATCTTAAATTTTTCCTCTCCAGCCAACTCAGCACTCTGAGGTGGAGCACTGCTATGGATCCGGAAAACTGCGCAATGCCCAGTCGACCCAGGAGTTGGATAGAAATGGGCAAGTGTTAGATAACCTACTTAAAGAAGTTTGATTCTCATTGAATTTTCATTCTTATATCAACAGCAACGAACCGGAGATCGTACGCCAATGGAGCCATCAATGGCAGCATTAATGGGATGCGTCCGGCCAAGTCGCTGGCCCAGCTGTGTGATCTGACACCCAAGAAGGCGCCCTCATCGCGAGACCTCATTACCCAGTGAGAGCCTGATCAAGAAAAATGCAAAGCCAGGACGGTTATCAAGGCGGCCATATCGCTGCTTGTAAAGAAGGTGAGACCATATCCATTATTACAAGCTTTTTCAAGTGTGGCCAACTCATGTTTCGCTACTTTTACATCGAAGTGTGACCGCTTTGACTTTTAGCTGGTTGCCTGCAGCCATGTGCAACAGCGACGATCAGTGACGATGTGCAGCATTGACTATCGATTGCTGAATAACCATACGCAGCTTTGACTATCGATTTCTGGCGTGGAACCATGTGCAGCTTTGACATCCAACGTTTTAGGTTATGGTCAATGGACTCAGAAGCAGACACAGGTTTAGGATAAGCTGGATCATGTCCAGGGCGTGCTAGTCACAGCCCGGCTGGCGGCAGTGCAGACCACTACTCTCCTGCTGCCCATTGATGAGCTCTCCAATACACCCTCGATGGCCTCTAGCGTGAACAGCGCTAAGGTGAAGTTCCTCGATGATTCGCATTCGGATGACTCTGGCAACTCGGCCTCCTCCCAGAGCAACAACAACGTCCAAGCCAAGCAGCAGCAGCCGCTCAAGCTGACCGTGGTCACCCGCAAGGAACAGCGTTACATTGGACCCAACTGCTCCAACATGACACCGGAGCCGCCGCTGCAGACCAGAACCATTTCCATGCCGCAGCTGAGCGGCCTGCCCTACCAAGGGCGTAATTCAGCGGCTTATAGCCTCCCATGGCAAGCTGGTGACACCCAATATTCCCCTGCGGGACTCGGAGGGCACGCCTTTGCGTCGAGGCTATGTGCCCGTCTAGCAGAATCTGCAGCGGGAGCTTCAGGACCTCAAGTCGCGCGAGACGGGCAGGCAGAACACACTGAAGGCTTCGCTGGACAAGCTGTGAGTACAAGACAAGGCTTTCAAGAATCGTCCTCTTATCATCTTACGTTTTTTACGTTTCCAGCCAACTCAGCACAGACGAGACCGATGCGGACGATGAGGACTCTGAGGTGGAGCACTGCTTTGTTTTCGGCTATGGTGAATGCACTCAAAAGCAGCTACAGGATCGGGATAAGCTGGATTATGTCCAGGGCGTGCTAGTCACGGCCCGGCCGGCGGCAGTGCAGACCACTACTCTCCTGCTGCCCATTGATGAGCTATCCAACACACCCTCGCTGGCCTCTAGCGTGAACAGCGCCAAGCAGGAGAGCCTCGATGACCAGCATTCGGATGACTGCCATCTCGGCCTCCTCGCAGAGCAACACAACTGCTACAACATGACACCGGAGCCACCGCAGCAGAAGCTTAGTTACCAGGACCATTTTGGTGGCCTGCCCCAGAAGCGTTAGTTTGCCTTAGGTGGTGCCTCTAGCAAGGGCATGATTCATCGGGTTATTGCCTTCCATGGCAAGCTTGTGACACCCAATATTCTCCTGCCGCCGCCTCGCCATTGGGCAACATCACCAGCTCCGGGACCAATCAGAATGGAAGTCAGAACAGCAACAGCATCAAGCAGACAACACTGAAGGCATCTCTGGACAAGCTGCGAGTACAGGACAAGGCTTTTAAGAATCGTACTCTTATCATCTTAAATTTTTCCTCTCCAGCCAACTCAGCACTCTGAGGTGGAGCACTGCTATGGATCCGGAAAACTGCGCAATGCCCAGTCGACCCAGGAGTTGGATAGAAATGGGCAAGTGTTAGATAACCTACTTAAAGAAGTTTGATTCTCATTGAATTTTCATTCTTATATCAACAGCAACGAACCGGAGATCGTACGCCAATGGAGCCATCAATGGCAGCATTAATGGGATGCGTCCGGCCAAGTCGCTGGGCCAGCTGTGTGATCTGACACCCAAGGAGGTGCCCTCATCGCGAGACCTCATTGCCCAGTGAGAAAGCCTGATCAAGAAAAATGCAAAGCCAGGACGGTTATTAAGGCGGCCATATACTGCTTGTAAAAAAGGTGAGTCCATATCCATTATCACAAGCTTTTTCACGTGTGACCAACTCATGTTTCGCTATTTTTACATCGAAGTGTGACCGCTTTGACTTTCAGCTGGTTGCCTGCAGCCATGTGCAACAGCGACGATCAGTGACGATGTGCAGCATTGACTATCGATTGCTGAATAACCATACGCAGCTTTGACTATCGATTTCTGGCGTGGAACCATGTGCAGCTTTGACATCCAACGTTTTAGGTTATGGTCAATGGACTCAGAAGCAGACACAGGTTTAGGATAAGCTGGATCATGTCCAGGGCGTGCTAGTCACAGCCCGGCTGGCGGCAGTGCAGACCACTACTCTCCTGCTGCCCATTGATGAGCTCTCCAATACACCCTCGATGGCCTCTAGCGTGAACAGCGCTAAGGTGAAGTTCCTCGATGATTCGCATTCGGATGACTCTGGCAACTCGGCCTCCTCCCAGAGCAACAACAACGTCCAAGCCAAGCAGCAGCAGCCGCTCAAGCTGACCGTGGTCACCCGCAAGGAACAGCGTTACATTGGACCCAACTGCTCCAACATGACACCGGAGCCGCCGCTGCAGACCAGAACCATTTCCATGCCGCAGCTGAGCGGCCTGCCCTACCAAGGGCGTAATTCAGCGGCTTATAGCCTCCCATGGCAAGCTGGTGACACCCAATATTCCCCTGCGGGACTCGGAGGGCACGCCTTTGCGTCGAGGCTATGTGCCCGTCTAGCAGAATCTGCAGCGGGAGCTTCAGGACCTCAAGTCGCGCGAGACGGGCAGGCAGAACACACTGAAGGCTTCGCTGGACAAGCTGTGAGTACAAGACAAGGCTTTCAAGAATCGTCCTCTTATCATCTTACGTTTTTTACGTTTCCAGCCAACTCAGCACAGACGAGGCCGATGCGGACGACGATGACGATGAGGACTCTGAGGTGGAGCACTGCTTTGTTTTCGGCTATGGTGAATGCACTCAAAAGCAGCTACAGGATCGGGATAAGCTGGATCATGTCCAGGGCGTGCTAGTCACAGCCCGGCCGGCGGCAGTGCAGACCACTACTCTCCTGCTGCCCATTGATGAGCTATCCAACACACCCTCGCTGGCCTCTAGCGTCAAGCGCCAAGCAGGAGAGCCAAGCAGGAGAGCCTCGATGACCAGCATTCGGATGACTGCCATCTCGGCCTCCTCGCAGAGCAACACAACTGCTACAACATGACACCGGAGCCACCGCAGCAGAAGCTTAGTTACCAGGACCATTTCGGTGGCCTGCCCCAGAAGCGTTAGTTTGCCTTAGGTGGTGCCTCTAGCAAGGGCATGATGCAGCGGGTTATTACCTTCCATGGCAAGCTTGTGACGATGACGATGAGGACTCTGAAGTGGAGCACTGCTTTGTTTTGGGCTATGGTGAATGCACTCAAAAGCAGCTACAGGATCGGGATAAGCTGGATCATGTTCAGGGCGTGCTAGTCACAGCCCGGCCGGCGGCAGTGCAGACCACTACTCTCCTGCTGCCCATTGATGAGCTATCCAACACACCCTCGCTGGCCTCTAGCGTGAACAGCGCCAAGCAGGAGAGCCTCGATGACCAGCATTCGGATGACTGCCATCTCGGCCTCCTCGCAGAGCAACACAACTGCTACAACATGACACCGGAGCCACCGCAGCAGAAGCTTAGTTACCAGGACCATTTCGGTGGCCTGCCCCAGAAGCGTTAGTTTGCCTTAGGTGGTGCCTCTAGCAAGGGCATGATGCATCGGGTTATTGCCTTCCATGGCAAGCTTGTGACACCCAATATTCTCCTGCCGCCGCCTCGCCATTGGGCAACATCACCAGCTCCGGGACCAATCAGAATGGAAGTCAGAACAGCAACAGCATCAGGCAGACAACACTAAAGGCATCTCTGGACAAGCTGCGAGTACAGGACAAGGCTTTTAAGAATCGTACTCTTATCATCTTAAATTTTTCCTCTCCAGCCAACTCAGCACTCTGAGGTGGAGCACTGCTATGGATCCGGAAAACTGCGCAATGCCCAGTCGACCCAGGAGTTGGATAGAAATGGGCAAGTGTTAGATAACCTACTTAAAGAAGTTTGATTCTCATTGAATTTTCATTCTTATATCAACAGCAACGAACCGGAGATCGTACGCCAATGGAGCCATCAATGGCAGCATTAATGGGATGCGTCCGGCCAAGTCGCTGGCCCAGCTGTGTGATCTGACACCCAAGAAGGCGCCCTCATCGCGAGACCTCATTACCCAGTGAGAGCCTGATCAAGAAAAATGCAAAGCCAGGACGGTTATCAAGGCGGCCATATCGCTGCTTGTAAAGAAGGTGAGACCATATCCATTATTACAAGCTTTTTCAAGTGTGGCCAACTCATGTTTCGCTACTTTTACATCGAAGTGTGACCGCTTTGACTTTTAGCTGGTTGCCTGCAGCCATGTGCAACAGCGACGATCAGTGACGATGTGCAGCATTGACTATCGATTGCTGAATAACCATACGCAGCTTTGACCATCGATTTCTGGCGTGGAACCATGTGCAGCTTTGACATCCAACGTTTTAGGTTATGGTCAATGGACTCAGAAGCAGACACAGGTTTAGGATAAGCTGGATCATGTCCAGGGCGTGCTAGTCACAGCCCGGCTGGCGGCAGTGCAGACCACTACTCTCCTGCTGCCCATTGATGAGCTCTCCAATACACCCTCGATGGCCTCTAGCGTGAACAGCGCTAAGGTGAAGTTCCTCGATGATTCGCATTCGGATGACTCTGGCAACTCGGCCTCCTCCCAGAGCAACAACAACGTCCAAGCCAAGCAGCAGCAGCCGCTCAAGCTGACCGTGGTCACCCGCAAGGAACAGCGTTACATTGGACCCAACTGCTCCAACATGACACCGGAGCCGCCGCTGCAGACCAGAACCATTTCCATGCCGCAGCTGAGCGGCCTGCCCTACCAAGGGCGTAATTCAGCGGCTTATAGCCTCCCATGGCAAGCTGGTGACACCCAATATTCCCCTGCGGGACTCGGAGGGCACGCCTTTGCGTCGAGGCTATGTGCCCGTCTAGCAGAATCTCCAGCGGGAGCTTCAGGACCTCAAGTCGCGCGAGACGGGCAGGCAGAACACACTGAAGGCTTCGCTGGACAAGCTGTGAGTACAAGACAAGGCTTTCAAGAATCGTCCTCTTATCATCTTACGTTTTTTACGTTTCCAGCCAACTCAGCACAGACGAGGCCGATGCGGACGACGATGACGATGAGGACTCTGAGGTGGAGCACTGCTTTGTTTTCGGCTATGGTGAATGCACTCAAAAGCAGCTACAGGATCGGGATAAGCTGGATCATGTCCAGGGCGTGCTAGTCACAGCCCGGCCGGCGGCAGTGCAGACCACTACTCTCCTGCTGCCCATTGATGAGCTATCCAACACACCCTCGCTGGCCTCTAGCGTCAAGCGCCAAGCAGGAGAGCCAAGCAGGAGAGCCTCGATGACCAGCATTCGGATGACTGCCATCTCGGCCTCCTCGCAAAGTAACACAACTGCTACAACATGACACCGGAGCCACCGCAGCAGAAGCTTAGTTACCAGGACCATTTCGGTGGCCTGCCCCAGAAGCGTTAGTTTGCCTTAGGTGGTGCCTCTAGCAAGGGCATGATGCATCGGGTTATTGCCTTCCATGGCAAGCTTGTGACACCCAATATTCTCCTGCCGCCGCCTCGCCATTGGGCAACATCACCAGCTCCGGGACCAATCAGAATGGAAGTCAGAACAGCAACAGCATCAGGCAGACAACACTGAAGGCATCTCTGGACAAGCTGCGAGTACAGGACAAGGCTTTTAAGAATCGTACTCTTATCATCTTAAATTTTTCCTCTCCAGCCAACTCAGCACTCTGAGGTGGAGCACTGCTATGGATCCGGAAAACTGCGCAATGCCCAGTCGACCCAGGAGTTGGATAGAAATGGGCAAGTGTTAGATAACCTACTTAAAGAAGTTTGATTCTCATTGAATTTTCATTCTTATATCAACAGCAACGAACCGGAGATCGTACGCCAATGGAGCCATCAATGGCAGCATTAATGGGATGCGTCCGGCCAAGTCGCTGGCCCAGCTGTGTGATCTGACACCCAAGAAGGCGCCCTCATCGCGAGACCTCATTACCCAGTGAGAGCCTGATCAAGAAAAATGCAAAGCCAGGACGGTTATCAAGGCGGCCATATCGCTGCTTGTAAAGAAGGTGAGACCATATCCATTATTACAAGATTTTTCAAGTGTGGCCAACTCATGTTTCGCTACTTTTACATCGAAGTGTGACCGCTTTGACTTTTAGCTGGTTGCCTGCAGCCATGTGCAACAGCGACGATCAGTGACGATGTGCAGCATTGACTATCGATTGCTGAATAACCATACGCAGCTTTGACTATCGATTTCTGGCGTGGAACCATGTGCAGCTTTGACATCCAACGTTTTAGGTTATGGTCAATGGACTCAGAAGCAGACACAGGTTTAGGATAAGCTGGATCATGTCCAGGGCGTGCTAGTCACAGCCCGGCTGGCGGCAGTGCAGACCACTACTCTCCTGCTGCCCATTGATGAGCTCTCCAATACACCCTCGATGGCCTCTAGCGTGAACAGCGCTAAGGTGAAGTTCCTCGATGATTCGCATTCGGATGACTCTGGCAACTCGGCCTCCTCCCAGAGCAACAACAACGTCCAAGCCAAGCAGCAGCAGCCGCTCAAGCTGACCGTGGTCACCCGCAAGGAACAGCGTTACATTGGACCCAACTGCTCCAACATGACACCGGAGCCGCCGCTGCAGACCAGAACCATTTCCATGCCGCAGCTGAGCGGCCTGCCCTACCAAGGGCGTATTCAGCGGCTTATAGCCTCCCATGGCAAGCTGGTGACACCCAATATTCCCCTGCGGGACTCGGAGGGCACGCCTTTGCGTCGAGGCTATGTGCCCGTCTAGCAGAATCTCCAGCGGGAGCTTCAGGACCTCAAGTCGCGCAGACGGGCAGGCAGAACACACTGAAGGCTTCGCTGGACAAGCTGTGAGTACAAGACAAGGCTTTCAAGATCGTCCTCTTATCATCTTACGTTTTTTACGTTTCCAGCCAACTCAGCACAGACGAGGCCGATGCGGACGACGATGACGATGAGGACTCTGAGGTGGAGCACTGCTTTGTTTTCGGCTATGGTGAATGCACTCAAAAGCAGCTACAGGATCGGGATAAGCTGGATCATGTTCAGGGCGTGCTAGTCACAGCCCGGCCGGCGGCAGTGCAGACCACTACTCTCCTGCTGCCCATTGATGAGCTATCCAACACACCCTCGCTGGCCTCTAGCGTGAACAGCGCCAAGCAGGAGAGCCTCGATGACCAGCATTCGGATGACTGCCATCTCGGCCTCCTCGCAGAGCAACACAACTGCTACAACATGACACCGGAGCCACCGCAGCAGAAGCTTAGTTACCAGGACCATTTCGGTGGCCTGCCCCAGAAGCGTTAGTTTGCCTTAGGTGGTGCCTCTAGCAAGGGCATGATGCATCGGGTTATTGCCTTCCATGGCAAGCTTGTGACACCCAATATTCTCCTGCCGCCGCCTCGCCATTGGGCAACATCACCAGCTCCGGGACCAATCAGAATGGAAGTCAGAACAGCAACAGCATCAGGCAGACAACACTGAAGGCATCCTGGACAAGCTGCGAGTACAGGACAAGGCTTTTAAGAATCGTACTCTTATCATCTTAAATTTTTCCTCTCCAGCCAACTCAGCACTCTGAGGTGGAGCACTGCTATGGATCCGGAAAACTGCGCAATGCCAGTCGACCCAGGAGTTGGATAGAAATGGGCAAGTGTTAGATAACCTACTTAAAGAAGTTTGATTCTCATTGAATTTTCATTCTTATATCAACAGCAACGAACCGGAGATCGTACGCCAATGGAGCCATCAATGGCAGCATTAATGGGATGCGTCCGGCCAAGTCGCTGGCCCAGCTGTGTGATCTGACACCCAAGAAGGCGCCCTCATCGCGAGACCTCATTACCCAGTGAGAGCCTGATCAAGAAAAATGCAAAGCCAGGACGGTTATCAAGGCGGCCATATCGCTGCTTGTAAAGAAGGTGAGACCTATCCATTATTACAAGATTTTTCAAGTGTGGCCAACTCATGTTTCGCTACTTTTACATCGAAGTGTGACCGCTTTGACTTTTAGCTGGTTGCCTGCAGCCATGTGCAACAGCGACGATCAGTGACGATGTGCAGCATTGACTATCGATTGCTGAATAACCATACGCAGCTTGACCATCGATTTCTGGCGTGGAACCATGTGCAGCTTTGACATCCAACGTTTTAGGTTATGGTCAATGGACTCAGAAGCAGACACAGGTTTAGGATAAGCTGGATCATGTCCAGGGCGTGCTAGTCACAGCCCGGCTGGCGGCAGTGCAGAC